GGTTATCAAGCGACTACGGTAAGGCAACATTAAGGCTTGGTATTTCTGCTAAAGTAGGTATTTCGCGCTGTCAAAATCTGCGCGCGCAATACTTCGCCGAAGACAGCGCGCCAAAGAGCTCTCGCGGCTACACAGTATAGAAATACCAGTTGGTTAGGTTAGGTTGACTTCCTTCCGTTCAAGCGACACACTCACAGCACTTTCTAATACAAATCATATCCAAGTGATACAAATTAAAACAACTTTCAGAATTTTTGGGAATATATTTTAGAATCGAATAAATATAAAATATAACTGCCAAAGTAAACACGGTTCAAAGAGGCGTGGCGTCACCCGCATCCGTTAAAAGCCCTCAAGTTATTTCTGAACTTTAGTTTAGTAAAAGATTTAGAATCTCAAATCGCTTATTTTAAAAATAAAACCATAATTAGAAAACGAATAGAGGTAACTTTGGGAATTTATTCTATCGAGTCAACTTAATCAAATCGTGTTTCCATCCGTTAATAGCCCTAGAAAATATCCTCAACTATGCCCAATAAAAATCTTAGCCTTTAATTTTACTGTTTAGTACCTCAAAAATGAAAAATGAAAACCTCATTTTCGCCATTTTCTCTGCTACCCGGCCTTAACGACGATTTAATCTATGACTAGCGGAATGGTAGTAACTTTTGGGCTTTGCCACATTTATCAACCCGGAAAGGGACCGTAACCGTATCAACTTGAGGCGGTCAGTTTTCTTTGTATCAAAATCAAGATCAAAATCAAAATCATTTATTCAGTTTAGACCACAAGTGGCACTTATGAACGTCAAAAAATAAAAAATAAAAGGTAGCCTTATGGGGCACTTATGAAACTCCATACTTACGGTTTTGATCTCATTCCGAGTTGATAAGTCTGCTATGAGCTTTATTGCTGGACGATCGGTCACTCCAATATAGTCGCGTATTTCCAACTCTAGATAACTATTGGAATCGAACCTTTTAACTCACAAGCTCACTTAATCTCCTCTAAACTATGCTTTCATTGTTTTTTGTTGTCATAATGTCTGATTTTTATATTCCAGTCTGGAGCTTACAACATTACCAAGTGCCTCATGAGTTTGTTCTACCTGTGTTACAATTTGCTTGTGTTTTACATTATTTGTCGTTGGTGCGAAGAAATTTCAGTTCAGGTAATTTTTTTAAAGACTTTTCCATTGTCCTGTCGCATCTTCTTAAAATTGATCTTTAAAGCACATGGTTTTAGTTATACAAATTACCAAGAAACCAATTTGTTTCTTACTAATTACGACGACACTCGATCCATCGTCATGCCAACAAATAATTAAAACTGTTTCAGTACCTACAACAGAAATAAAAGCAGTAGGCTTATTTACTGGGTACATAATAGATAACGTTCTAAACTAAAAAATAATCTCTATGTATTTGGTGGATATTATTCCCGCCTTTCTGTCACTTAACTTTTTGTTAGAGCAATATTATATGGCCTCAGAAAATTAAGGTAATTGAATATGAAAGTTATGTAGAATAGGAAAAGTGGGAGGAAAATGATGAAGGCGAAGGATAGAACATTAATTACGCGATTTTTTCATTATAATACATAAAATATTACAATAAATGTACGAATCATGAAACTTGAAATTGACTTGCATGTGTTCGTTAGAAAATAATATGCCTACTGCTGAATACCTCTACTGGAACTCTAGCGGTAGCCTTTGAGGGCATGACGTCACGTGTAATGTGTCACGTTCACAAAGCGCTGGGCTGGGCTATCAAGTTATCGTTTGAGTGGTATAATTGGTGGATAATTGGACGCCTTACCTTAGTTGGCCAACCTAGAATGAAGTGTCGCTTTAGCGAGGCCATTATTGTCAACTTGATGAACATGTGCATCGCTAACAAATTAGTCTAAATCCGTACGAAATGTGGTCTAGTCGGAATTAAATGACATCATGCTGTTGACGTAATATTGCTGTGGTAAAACTGGACTATTTTTTATTTATGAATGTTTTATAAAAATGTTTTTTCCATAGACCTTGAGAAACGATAAGACCGTTCACCCATGGTTGTGCTCTCTCTAGTACGGTAAATGCGGTCTCCTTAAATATTAACTTCTTATTCATATAATTAATTATTATCAGAACGATATTTAAATTCCCATGTTATCCAGTATTAAGGATGATGGGCACAAATGTATGGAAAGTGGTACCCGCTCCAATAGCCATAACCAATATATATTTTAAAAGGCCTTTAGATATAGGAAAATGTCTGCTATGGGGCCAGTTCTAATTCACGTTTTGAAAGCAGTAATTCCACTAAGTATTATAATGAAAGTATAACACAATCATCCATGTATACGAGTATGTATTATGACTACAATCTATTAATATAACTAAAAGAAGCATTGAAAAGGAAAGGATTACACGTACGATGAACTACCCAAGCTATTAGCCCTTTATTCGCTTTCATCATCATCATCATGATCATTTCAGCCATAGGACGTCCAGTTGAACATAGGCCTCCCCCAATGATTTCCACAATGGCCGGTTGGTGGCGGCCTGCATCCAGCTCCATCCCGCTACCTTTATGAGGTCGTCGGTCCATCTTGTGGGTGGACTTATTGGGTCTTGTGGGTTTATTCGCTTTAGCAACTTATAATAAAACCCTTACGAAGTAATAAAACTTTAACCCCTTTATTAATAACNTGAATAAATGATCTTTTATCTTTTATCTTTTTATCTTTTAAAATAAAAGTTACACCCTAGTTGAACTCTGGCTTAAATTGTCATTTGGTATGAAAATGTCATTTTAATCTAAGGTTCTTCCTAGGTGTAACTTTTTATTAATAAGGGGGTAGTATTTCTTTAAATAAAAATATTTATTTCACAATTATCCCCATCAATAATTAAAGAGTTAAGGAAGGATGCTGGACTTCCTGCCTCGCATAACCTAAGACCATACGATGGACACGTATGATATTTCTTCTTCTTCCTCGGTCCCTCACTGATGAGGATCGCGACCACAGATAGTGTTCCTCCCCAGACTGCGGTCATAAGCTGTGTAGACCGCACGTTGCAAACTCCCGCCCACCGTCTTCCTCACCGCGCGTCCGACCATCTCGTCGGTGCCCTGCCCCGAGCGCGTCTGCCTTCCATACTGTATGATACTTAGGTTATACAAAATGTATCTTTATCTTCGAACGCAACCAGATCTGAGGCTGGTGGCCATAGTAAATGTTGTTCGTCTTGGTAAGACCTTTCAAATGACACTACAAACATAATTATTGGAGCCGGGTACCATTCTGCAAAAAAGTATGTGTATCTTCGTACACAACCAGATCTGAGGCTGGTGGTCATAGTAAAAGTTGTTCATCATGGTAAGACCTTTCAAACGATACTAGACACATATCTATTGGAGCCGGGTACCATTTTGCCCATTGTCCTTTGCTCGTGGAATGAGGAATTAGTATAAATTACAAAAAAACATGCTCTTTAGTGTAGGTTAAGTTGGAAGAAAGTGACATTATAATCACAAATTAATTTTGCCTTTTGATACATTAGAAGTGGTCAATTTGCGATGTTAGATGCTTCCATGTGAACATCACTTCCACGACGGGACGTCCACCCAAAAGGTGGACCGACAACCTGATAAAATTAGCAGGAAGGCGCTGGTTGCAGGCCGCTACCAACCGTGCGATGTGGCAGTCATTGGGGGAGGCCTATGTTCAGTAGTGGACGTCCTGTGACTGAATTGATGATGACGAGCATCACTTTCTGTTGAGATAGAGGCCAATAGTTTCCTCGTCGTGGCTAAGACCTATATCTTTTTCAATTGCAGAGTCAAAGAGTAGGTGAAGCAGTGTACTGCTCGAACTGGGAGTGCGGTGCTAGCAATATCCCTGGAGTCAAGGTGTCCCTGCTCATGGTGATAACGCGCGCCAACAAGCCCCTGACCCTCACTGCTGGAGGGGTCTACGATCTGTCGCTTATGACTTTCAGCTCTGTGAGTAACCAAGTTTATACTCATAAGACCTGAAATTTATAGTGGATGACACTATTCACAAATTAATTAAATTTTCTTAAAATCACAACTCTATTTTAGGGATTGCATAATGTACTATTTTAACTTTCTTATATTTATTTGACTTGAAGTCAATTAATCTTTAGTCAATAGACTGAAAAACAGCGTGGCCCCATAAGGGCCATATTCAGGTTGTGGCTTTTTTCCACGGGAGATTTTGTAGGTATGAGATTGTGGCTTTTGCATAAAGTGGAATATCTAAATAAATATTGAACTTTTAAATACAATTGTTTTACTGAAAGGTGTATAGAGGAATGTAGTATTTAATAATTAAATAAAAGAAAAAAGCCCTAATGATCATTGGGGCAGTCTTCGTTGGGTACGACGAATTGACTGGTGGAATCTAGTCTAGTCTGTCTAGTTCCCAAATTATGTGACTTTGTTCACCGCACAATACAAAATTAGTAACTCTATGTCTTTCGCGATTTAATCAATCCCGTTGCTAAGCCTGGATCTCTGTTAATATGGCTGCCAGTGTGACAGCCCTTGACTATTTGTCACATGTGGAACGGTCACAGCGGTTCCTCGAAAACAATGGGTGTTAGACCACTATATAGATTAACCATGTAGGTACCTATCTACTCATACCTAGCTTCATTTAGGTTTTTAATTCCCAATTAAAATGATGAACTTTATTTTTGCAGATATTAAAAACATCATACAGCGCATTGACGCTCTTGCTACGTCTCAAAAGTACAGAATAAAAGCTAGTATTATGTTTATAATGCACGCAAGATTTACACGCGTAGTGATTTCAGCAAATATTAGAATATCATCTAGATAAACACAGCTGTCGACGCAAGTAGCGATGGACAAACGAAATAAACTTGGTAGATGCCATTGTCATGTTAATGTTACCACGATTGTCCGAACTTATTACCATTCGACAAAATGTTTTCATGTCATATACCTTTAGGAATTAGTCAACGTTGTCATGTTCGAATGATAATTATAAATACCACGAAGTTGGATGTATGGTCAAAACTGTGTTAACTAAGTGAGAGAACGCACTAAGCTGTGAGCTAAGGACTGAGCTCAAACATGAATCTCTTGGGGTATCTGATCACGCTGGTTAATCTTCAGGTAATTAAATTGTTATTTAACTTTCTGACAGATTCTATCTTCTATAAATTCCCTGTTCGACTTATAAAAACTATTTCAATAACAGTCGTATTTTATTGACCACAATAAAGTTCAAGCAATTCAGAAGTATTCAGTGACCTAATAAGAAATGAGAAATGAACTCATAAAGACAAAGTGCAGTAAACTGCAGTGCATATTGTGCACATGTCATTCTATATTGTGATATTTCTGGAAGTTTTATTTTTATTGTGTCATAACATTGATGGCCATAAAACGGCTTTATGTTTGTAGGTATGCATCATTTTGTTTTTGGTTCTGTTGATATTTCAAACGTAAAAGAAAAACTACTACTGAGATAGAGTAGGTGCAAAAATAGTAAACAATATTATTGCATGCTTGTCATTTTTGTTACTTGAGTAGGTATGTGCTAAGTCAAATTTGGCTTGATCATGTGAAATTCAGCGTCTCATCAAAATGTTTGCCATACATTAGAACGTACACACTTATAAATTGATATTACCAATACATTATCAAGTTGTATGTGACCATTGGTATTAAAATTAAAATGAACTGACCATGAATCCCAAGCAAAATGTAGTATTTTCCATTCATACCGAAATTTTCAATAGCAATGAGGTCGACCCGTAAAAGTGCTATTGATATTGTTAATTAATTCGAAATTACTTTCCTTTCAGAGCTTCGACAAATCAGCTGGTCCCGTTAAAGATCTGTCAATAAAGGTGGCCGAGTTGCAAACTCTTACAAATGAATTGCGAATGATACCGGGATTGGACCTCGATGGGTTCAAAGCCACCGGCTATTACCGGGTAGGGGACGTGGGGAAATACCTGTCAAGAAACCTCCGGGACTACATTTACTCTGGAGAAGGTAACCCGAAAGATGAAGGAGTAGTTTTGACCCTGTTCTTTAAAGATGGCCCGATCAACCTAGAAGATGAGAATCTAACTTATTTCCTCCATAAGAAAATTGGCAATGAAGAAAGGGAGCAAGTGAGAGCCATTCTGGACGGCTAAAACTACGGTTGGAAAAGTCTGCCCATTCCGAACCGTATAGTAAAACCGTCATAAAACTTTTAGATAAAATTTATCTGTCGTAGCTTCTAGTTTCGAACAACCACCGCGCCAACTTTTGCTGGTAATTAAATTCCACCCTAGTTTTAGAATGCTTCAAATAAATTGTTTTATTAAACTTTGTGTTTTATTTGTGAATACAATTTTATTGTTAGGGAAAATTTAACTAGAAGCAATGTTATTTGTTAGATAATTTTGGTTTCACGTTCCACCTCACTGTGGCGTGGAGCATATGCTCCAATGTCAAAATGGCCCCGTCTGTGGCGTGGAGCATATGATCCACAAAATGTAGGTTCACATTTCGCGGCACAGCACGCTCAATTTTTATTAGATTGCATTAAGATTACTACAGTACGTTCCTGACGAACCGGGCTGTATAATGATATACGCCTTGGATACGGCCTAGAAGGAAAATAAAAAGTTATCTGTCATCAAAGTTACGCTATTTTCGTTGCGCACTTTGCCTACTTGCCGCCTTGATTATACTACGTTGGCAGACTTATATTCCTTGAAATTTGTATTAGATCATAGAACGGTAAATAATCTTCAATTATTTATCTATTTTGTGAGGTTTGTTAGCAATTTTCATTGAAAAAAGCTGTGATGAATGCAAAAGTACCCTAAGTATGAACGACGTCTGTGCCGATTCATTGACTTTTAAATGATCTAAATTACCACTAATCTCCAAATGTTTCTTTTATTAGTTGCAGTATTTATCATTTTAGCTAAATACGTAAACATGAGGCATATTCTGATGTAAAACGTGAGAAATATCAATAAAAGTGTGTAACGATTTTTTGTGGATCAAATGCTCCAAGCTCACAGACGCGGTTTGACATTAGTTTGACATTAGTTTGAAGTTTTTTTTGGTGGGGTGACTAACATGGATTTCCGTTCGTCGGCTTTATTATTATGACTTAAAATTAATTTGACTATTTATTTTATTGTATTTACGTCAACTTTTTATTTTTATTAACATTAATAATGAAATAAAAAAATCTTTTAACTGTCATTGGTATATTTCTTTGGCACTTGGTACAATTATTCTTCATACTCCTGAGCAGGTTATAGTATACTTACTTCCCACGGCAACGGGAATTAGCGGGAAAATCCTTATGTATGAAAAATCTAAACCGCTTAAGTTAGACACTTGAAACTTGGCATGCAGGTACCTTAGTAAACTTAAAGCTTAGTTACAACAGGATATCGCAAAATTCCTACGGGAACGGGAGTTAGCGGGAAAAAACATTTGTATGAAAAAATCTAAACCGCTTAAGTTAGACGCTTGAAATTTGGCTTGCAGGTACCTTAGTAAACTTAAAACTTAGTTACAACAGGATATCGTAAAATTCCTACGGGAACGGGAGTTAGCGGGAAAAAACATTTGTATGATAAAATCTAAACCGCGTAAAATGGGATCCACGCGTACGAAGTCGCGGGCGGCCTCTAGTTATTGAATAAACAAAAAACCCAACTGCGTAAAAATGAATTAAAAAGATAAAAACAAGATTTGATGCCTCCGACTGCATTTGTGAACACTAAGGCTGAGTTGTCTTTTTTTTATCTTTTTAGTTCATTTTTAGGCAGTTGGGTTTTTTGTTTATTCAATAATAATTGATTTAAATTTACTAGAACTTTCAAACTGGAAGTCAAACCCTCTTATCTAAATTAGTGCCTAATGTGCGCCTACACTTAAAGTGGAAGTTTTTTTCAACATAATTTTCTGTTGCTACATATTGTTGTTTTTTTTGCAGCAGAGCCGCCACATCGGGTATCCTGGTTAGCCAGCCGGGCGAGAAGAAGTGACGCGCCTGTCTGTGGCGTGGAGCATATGCTCCACTGTGGCGTGGAGCATATGATCCAATGTCAAAATGGGTCCGTCTGTGGCGTGGAGCATATGATCCACAAAATGTAGGTTCACATTTCGCGTAGCAGTAATAATTAAAGTGTTCGCGCCTTGCAGACGCGATGGAAATTTATAAATAAAACTCGGAAACTGCTTATTTCGTTGTATTCTTGAGACGTTACAATTTTGATGTTGTTCGATCGGAATCCAAAAGAGAAGTGATTTTATACAATGGTTTTCAATATAAAGTATTGACTGACAAAAGTTATGTGACATTTACATTAGAAGTAGATTTTGCTATTAGAATATGACGAGGCGCGAGTAGGGCCGCAACAAAAGCGTTTTCCTTTTATAAAATCATAATAATAATTATCTATGAATGTCATAAAAAATATTATTTATAGTTTTCTTTTTATTTTAGTTTAAGATGTTGAATAAATAACATTAAAACCTTAGGTAAAAGCTGATAAAAATTTAAAAGAAGAATTTGTTTATGTTTGTTTTATATTTTTTGTCTGTGATGTTACTGTTTCTTTCAATAAATAAAAATCATAATAAATCAATGGATTTTGATTTTATTAACCTACTATAATATAACTTGAAAAGAGCCCGGCAAGCGAGAGGTCATGGGTTCGATTCCTGCCTAAGGAAAGAAAGACAACAGCCCGGCAAGCGAGAGGTCATGGGTTCAATGAGGGCTATCGTTTTAGCGCTCACCAGTTAGCGCCACTGTAGAGTAAGGTCCTGTCACTTGCTAGTAGCGAAGACAGTGGCACCAACTGGTGAGCGCTAAAGTGGTAGGAGGACTATCGCATTTGTACTCATCAAGATGTTCCCAGAAGGGAATAATTTATTGGCGAAACAATGCCATATTTATTTACAAAACTTATGTACTATCAGGGACTCTTCCGCCTGACCACTTTGTAGAAATTTCAGCGTAAGCGCATCGCTCCGGTCACGTGCTAAGGGAAATGCAAAAAAAATCGAGTTAACGAGTTTTCGACTTAACAAGAACTTCGAGATACAAGGACTTAACTGCTGAAATTTTGACTTGTAGAGGACGGACAAGCTCCGCTAAAAGTAATCCTGTCCTGTGGCGACAAGGACAAACATCACGTTCACAGCTGTGTTACTTAAAAAGTTTCATTGATGTATTCTTTCATTGCACGTGTACAAGACAAAAACAATAGATTAGAAGCCCCGAACCCGAACATTCATTTTGGATTTTATTGCTATTATTTCGGGGAATTCCAATTTCCAAGTAAGAAGTTATTATATTTTACTAACTACGACTTACGGAGTCCCCTTTTTTTTCGAGTTATAGAGTATAAATATGTATCATCAATACTTCGTAGGGAAATAACATTTTGTTCGAGTTACAAAGTCTAAATAATTCGAGATACCGCGTATTTAGGTGCTCAGCGGAAGGGAATGGCAATTTTTTTCGACTTACTGAGGATTTCGACTTAACGAGGTTCGAGTTATAGAGATTCCACTGTATTTTTTACTACGACCAATAAGAAACAATCAGGGCTTAGAGC